CACTAATAACTCTCTCTTTGTTGGCCTGTCACTTCGGACTGATGACTCCGTTCGTTCTGCATTGGTTTTGCAACTAACATCTGCGCGTCATCCGGCGCCGACATCCTCAAGCATCTCTAGATCAATCTTCAAGCCTCGGCACACATTCGGTCTGGCTGCCTTTAATGTCCTCACTCTGGAGCATGCAGGACAACAAGCTGCTCTCGCTCTCACACTTTTACTCGCGTGACATTGATATGTGCTCTGTCCTAAAAACAATAATTCAAGATGCAAATACAGTGATTGAGCCAAACGTCCCATCACTCTCCACTCGCTCCCGGCTGTGTACCTCTGGCAATCCAAAGACTGCTGCGGCAGGATGTGTAGGGTTTGTCATCATCCCAACTCAGCGGGCAGGAAGATCCTTGCTTGACTGGATCCTCGTTGATGGTCGACTCTGCGTGGTTCGTCTGGCAACGTATGTGAAGTAGTCTTACAAGCGGGAAGTTGGTGAACTTCTGGTTTTATCTTGTCTGCTTACGCCATAACTGACTGTAGCTCTGACACCATCAAAGACGAGTTTTATGACACCCTGACCATCCTGTTGCCGCGAGCTAAAAGCCCGAATATCGCTGTGGTTGCCAGAGATCTAAATGCACAAGTGGGAAGGCTCAGAGCATCTGAGACTCAATTAATTGGTCGACATGGATTGGAGTCCATACGTGTGGACAAAGATGAATGATTGCTTCCATTGTGTGCTGACCGTGAACTGTTTTTATGCAGTACTGACTTCCGGAATAGCCGAAGTCATCTGGCCACATGGTGTCCTCCAATAGCATGCCGGTCACAAGCTCAAATCGATCATATTGCTATCACTTACCGATGGCGTGGATCACTAACTGACTACGGCTCGTTTTACAACACATTTGTGGATTCCGACCACGTATTCGTCCGGGATGACCTCCTCTTCGTCTTCCTGGGCCACACAAGGTGTGGGAAAATCGTCTCGCAACTGAGAGACTGGCGAAACGGCTCTTCACGCACTCGCCCATGAAGAAATGTTCAGGAAGTCTGTGAAGTTATTTGTCCACTCGGTCTTCCGGACATTTGAGAGGTAGTTCAGTTGTCAGAGCACGGGCATACTGACCGAAAGGTCCGTAGTTCGAACCCGACCTGCGCACCTCGACTTCACCCGCCTAGGCTTGGGCAACTTGACAGTATCCCAGCGCTCGTGCTTCGCTCGGGTGGCATGACAAAAAATCGTTCAGCTGTAGCACCCTTTCGGTGCCTAACTGCCATGCCACCGAAGAAAGCACGAGGGCTGGCATACTGCCAGGTCGCCCAAGCCTAGACAGGGGAAGTCGAGAGGCAGAGGTCGGGTTCGAACCACGGACCTTCTGGTCAGTAAATTCGCGCTCTAACCACTTGGCCCTTCTTGCCCCATGACAGCCATTCACCGAAAGGGTGCTATAGCTGAACTATTTATGTACATGTGAGGGTATGCGGAGAACCATAAGAAAATTCCGTGCACAAGGCGGCGTCTGTCAGGGAGTGCACACTCCTATCGACGATATAACGTGAGAAACGCTGGAAATTCTTTAAAACTCCGGTGTTCAAATAGCCTTTGATGAAAACCTTGTTAATCTGGAATGTGCATGCTATTTCGTTCTCGTTTTCGAAGAGGAGAACGCGCAAGTGTTCTTCGGACGAACTGACCAAAATGATCCCGCCCTATGATATGCACTTCGCACCCACAGCGTGTAAGATCATGCTCGTTGACATGCAGTCATTGTGCACGCCCCTTACAGTCCTAGGAGAGGTATCCGAAGTTTTGAGGCACTTTACTTATCTTGTAAGTTGTATCAGTTCTGATTGTAGGGTGATAGATGAACTCAGTGCATGAATCTGCAAGGGCCAGGTCGCGTTAGCTAATTTGAGACACCTGTGGTGTTAAGGTGGCATATCCTTTAATCTCAAGGGACGTGTTTATCAAGTTACAGTGCGGGCTGTTTTGTTTTATGGCTGTGGGACTTGGCCTGTTAAAGCAGCGGAACTGAGACGTCTTCAGGTGTTCAACAATCGTTGTCTCAGGACCATAGATTGTGTGGGTTGGTGTCGATGAGTCCGTAGTGAGGCAATCAGAAAGCGAGTTTTCGGCTGTGCAGTAGGAGTTTCCCTTGAAGGATGTGTCCAACACCAGGAGATGCGTTTTTTCGGCATGTATTGCGTGTGCCGTTTGCCCAAGAGGGCGTTGTTTTCCGTGCTCAGTTCAGTGTGGCAGAAGCAGAGGGGTATGAAAGTTATTACGAACCGTTTGGGTTCTGTCGGTGGTACTCGCCTACCATGAGGGGGACCGCGTAATACCCACTGCGCCTGGTTGGAGACTCTACAGGATATGGCTGCTAACCTATGTCCATTGCTTCGTGTTGTCAGTTTCTATTCAGATTGCCTGAATGAGTGTCTGGAGTTGTAGGTACCTCGGGGTGATTGTAGTAAGCTAGCACTAAGTTCCTGCCCTATCCACCTTTATTCCTTCCTTCAAAATGAGGCTTTCAAATAAATCACGGTTGTACGGTAGCGAAGCATCAGTGTTCGACACGGATGTCACGCTGTCGATGATGGTGATAATGAATGGCGATCTATTCGGTATTCACCATATGTAAGGTAGTTGCAACCTCTCGGCTATTAGTTTGAAAAGTTAAGCGAGAGGTCGAGAGTTCGGAACTCCTTGGAGTTCCGTGAGATACGCACCACTGATAATTCCCAATAAGGATGTTTTTCAATGCTTCTCGGCTTTACAGCACAGACTGGCTTCACTTTCAGGACGGAATCTATATTTAAAGTTCCCAGATCCATAGCTCATTTCATCAAGGGCATCCTCGGTAAACGGCACCCCAAACACTGGCTCAGTCGCCGTTGACAAATTTACAAACCCGGCCACTTTCATCCTCCCTCAAATTCAGGAGTGCAGTGAATATGGGTAACTAAAATATTCGTACTCTCTTAAGCGTGGGAAGCCAGAGTCTCACCATACGAGGCATCTTCAACACTAGGCCTTTCAGTGACGTAGACTGTTGGTTGCGCTTCATAGCGCACCCGATTACCAGGGATGGAACTTTCCAACTGACTGCACCATAGCTGCCCTAATGATAACTCGGGTTTGCGTCGTGTGGCCTTGCCCACGGTGTTTAGCAGAAGAAACTTTGCAGTTTCGTGGTCCTTTATGAAGGGTAAAGCTTCGTGGCGACCTATTGGGCATTCCTATATGGATGTGGAGCCTTCACAGGCTGTTAGTGACCTCGATAACCGTTGAACATTTGGTGGGCGGATTGGACATTCGAAATAGGTGTCGGATGACACTGCCAAAACACCTTATATTTGCATGCTTGTTTAGTGACTGTGTCTTCAATGATTTTGAAGCAAGTGCTGAATTAGTCTGACATTGAATTGTGTTCACTACCTTTGATATGTACAGGAAACCGGTATCGGATGGAGAACAAATAGTCTCATGTGTGTTATTTGGTTGTAGATCAGGTGGTTGTCAATCTTTTCGCGAGCTTAGCAATTTGCTTACAGTCGTTTCAACATCAAACAGGGACAGCATAAGCGCTCGATTACTGGGTTCAGCTGTAACACATTTTTGGTGCTACCTAACCCGAAGGAAGCCCGAGATCTGATATGCTTCCTGGTTGTCCAAGCTTAGACAGAAGTAGTTGAGATGCCGGGGTTAGTTGCGAACCACGGAGCCTAAATGCCAGTAATTTCATACCTTCGTTGCTGCGCTACCGTGATAGCTGTCTTTCGTATGCTTGCTAATGCATACCGTTTACCACTCCGTCAGTGGAATCATAACTGACCGACATCGTACGCTGGCCTTACTATCGAGCGTCGGTCATGATTTGCATCATTAGAGATGTAATTGAAGCTGACTCATTATCACGTACGAGGCGGTCGCCGCAAAACTAACTAGGCAACCGATTACAGTATCCACTATCACCATCATTATTACTCATCACTCACTTATTGCTTACTTATTATTACTTGTTTTATCTCAATATCTACAAATTACTTGCTTCCCTTCCATCTTGGTATGGTTGAGTGACCATCCCAGAGGATGAATACCGACTGGTACTCATCTCCTTTGTTTGTAACAGTTATGCGTGACGCTTCTCAGCGGGCTAATCCAAGCTGGAATAAATGTAATGCGTTCTGGTGGTTGCTTGGAGTCAAATAGTTAGTGTTCCACCTTTTTTTATGGATTTTAATTGCCTAGATTGCACACCATCACATAAGCGATAACAGTAATTCCCCTTTGTTGGAGCACAACAGTGGCCTCCGTCAGCGGCGACCTAATACGTGGTCCCTCCGAATAGAACCGATCCACCAGTGGCCACCAAATTGATATTGTCGTACTTTTTCACCGGAGTGTTCAACTACACGAACTATCACAAGGTTGTGGCGCAATTATTTACACAAGATGAGTTGGCTTGAGTATCCCCCCAAGAACGAACACCCAGAAGACATCCTTTTGAAAATAAACTCCTCTGAAAATTTCTTTTGAGCGTGACTCAGTGACTAACTCCTTTTCCAAAAAGAGACCAACTGCACCGTTTCGATATATTTACGACATAGGTCCCATCTTAGCAGGACTATACGGGGATCAACATGATTGATGGTATTGTGCGCGCGCAATTCACATGCTTTATTTCTGTGCTATCACAGCTTCCTTTGGTCGAAAACGTTCCTATGAGTTTGGGCTCCCCAACCCAAGGGTATTTTACTGGAGACTATTTTGGGAATATAAAGTGCTTCACTGGCAGAGATTGTTCAATCTTGGCGTCAGGAGCCGGGTTTTACTGAAGTCTTAATAAAACGTTTCTTAAGCTTCCTACAAACTCCATAGTTCAGTGCGAATGATGCTTTTGTCCAAAGTTAGTCGTGTAACTACTGTGGACACAGTGACGTAATAACATGATTTATTGTTTCATTTGCTACGCTTTCGTTTTTTCTCATCTTTTCAGGCTGTATATTGGTTGTAAATAATTATGAACCGACCTCGACTACCAAAACCACTTCCCCTTTCTCCGGTTCAGTCAGATCCTGCACCTCCGGGACTGTCTTCCGAAACCACCATTGAGATAGATGGTGAGAAACTTAAGATTCGTGCTGTCGAGCTGGAAAAGTTGAAGGAAATAGGTAAATGTTTTCTTGTTATCCCGTACTTCTCGATCAACTTTTGTTGTGTGAGCCTAGCGTGACATTGTCTGTTTGTCATCCTCAGATGTAAAGAGAGACGTTTTTCTGGATCGATTTGCATTGTTCTAAAGGTCATTCTTGAGCAGGGACCATCAGCTTTAGTTCGATGCTGAATCTTGACTACTAGTAACTCTCATTTTGCTTTTCACTGCAGATTATAAATTCCACATGAACAGGTGACCCAAACTAGCCGCTCCTTAGAAATGGTCTCTTGAAAGGACTACCTTTGATTTAACGTGACCAACTGCTGTGGGAAGATAAGCTGGTTCCATGAGAATTTCCCTGGCACCTTGTGGGTACTCAGCACTGATGTTTTCCTCAGCACCACTCGGCATTTTTTCGAGTATGTATCTCTAGTTTCTCACAGCTAAGTAAAAAACAACACAGAGCTTTCAGGGAACAGTTGAACGGCACTGCTGTCATATCCAATTGGATTCCGAAGATTATCCTGTAGTGAAGAAAACTATCTACTGCAACAAGCCTCAGTGGACCAACCTAGACTTCTATTCTTAGATGTAGTCTCTTCAAAAGTAGACAGCTATCTACTGGAAGATTTGATGAGCCTGGTACACTGGTCACAGGTTCGATGTTTTCGGTCGAAGCTGAATCCATGTTCTACAATAACCAGAAGAGCCATTTTATAACAATTGAGTGTTCCCTCTGCTTCGCTCCAGTTGGCTTTCAGTATGTTTGCATTCAAAAGAAGGTCTTCAGCAGTCTTGTGGCCAATGTACCATATCAAGAAATTGTACTGTGATGTCTTGATCATCGTAAACGAGGGTTTCAGTTTTGGCGTCGAGGATAAGTGTATCTTACCAGTTTCGTGCCATTTGTTGTTCAGTTAGAACGTAAGGTGGTTGGAAACCCGGGGTATATGATTATATGACAGGCTCCAAAAGGGCAGAAACTGGCAGTGGGGTGTCTGAAGTTTTCGGCAACCTAATGAGCAGTGTTTTACGTCAGCAGGTCTCTTACTATCTTTGATCTGTAGTTGCTAATGCTCTAACTGGCAAAGCCCAGTTTTTCCCCTATCTAATTAATTTGCACTTGTTTACATAGATAGAAGTGCACCATTTTTGAATGACACCACTGAAATCAATGTAACATTCTGCATGTTGCTTGTGAGCTCTGAGCTCGAATCAATTAAAAAGTTAATTCGTGAATCACCGGTCAGTAGGTGGCTCTCATGATCATCCTCAGGCTTCAGCTACCTGAAAGTGTCTTATGCGTTATATTTCTTTGAGGTTGCACTGTGCACCGAGGTGTTGCTATGTTTGCTTGCTCAGTACGGAGGTTACGGACAAAGCCGCTGATCACAATGATTCACGGTCCAAGTTCCGATTGTTTCTGTACTGTCTTGGGTCACCTTACACTAGTTTCTTTGTTTTCCTCGCGTATTATGACAGTTATGGGGACGCAAGACGTCATCCTCTCCAGGGATGCATCCAAAAAAGGCTATTTTGTGTGTTACTGCTTAGAATATTGTTTATCTAGTTAACCACCCATTCTTTTCTTCTATACTTTCTCGTTTCTCATCATCATCAGGACGGGGACAATATGGCCGTGTGGAAAAGATGCTTCACCGCCCAACCCAACGAATTCTAGCTGTTAAGTTGATCACACTGCTCAACGAACACGTGAACCGCTCTCAAATTCAAAGGGAGCTCGAAGTTGGCTATCAAACCACAAGTCCTTGTG